AAATCCATAACAAACAAACAAGCTCACAAAAAAGAAACATCAGACATATTTTGACCAGTTTACATGGAATTTGATACAAAGATACTCTTTGCAGTTTCCTAACAGAGATATAGACAATTTTTGTCTTTTGCTCAATTTATCAGTAAGGAAAGTACAGTTCGTGGTTTTCGTGAACTATTCATGTGTATATGTCAACCACCTTACCTTGGATTCGGTACAAAGATACTTTCTTGTAGGCCCCAAGCAGTGATATAAACAGTCAAAATTGACCATGTTGGGGTTGCGTGGCGGAAACAAATTGCACTCGCCCACAGATGTTGACCTCTTTAGTTACTTTATATTTTTCTGAAAATAGTTTTTCTCCTACTTATAATACAGATTAATTAGAAAGAGAATGTGATGGCAATTTTCGTAAGAAAACAAAAGAAAGACAACGTTGGAAGCCAGTTGGTATTGTGTTTGCTTATAAATAATAAAGTATTCCACTAATTTATTTTCTCAAATTTTATATTTGCATCTGTGTTGTATACGCATTCAAACTAGAAATGCCTATTGCCTTGATCGGAAATAAACAAAAATAGTATTCCAAATATATGGAAAAGATTGGACTTAAATAGTTAGAGTTGCTATGGGACTAGCATACGGTACCTTGTGGGATTGTGCTGAATAAGTATATGTGTTCTAGCCTTGGGTGGAAGAGGAGTGCATTTTAAATATTTTCCTTGATGTTTATGAGTGCTGCAAACTTTAATGCGTTTCATAATATATAAAAATAATAATTAAGGGACTGTAGAAATCTAAACTGTATACTTTTATCTGCTATAAACATATCGTTACAAAACTTATCTCACCAAAACTAAAAACAAATATTAATAACACCATCAGAGTCTTTCTTTAAGCGATACCGTACCGAAGTGAATGTGAAGATGATTGTTTGTTTGTTTCTTTTTAATTATGTACAAAGCTACACAATGGGCTATCTGTGCTCTGCCCATCACGGGTATCGAAACCCAGTTTTTAGCGTTGTAAGTTCGCGTACATATCGCTGTGCCACTGGGAGGGCATGTGAAGATGAACAAATCTAACAAAGTGGGCATTCTGTAAGGTCTTTTTATTTATTTATTATTATTATTATTTATAAATAATTTCATGTTGATGACTAAAGCAAACACACACCTGATAACTAAGTTTTTTTAAAACTTAAAGAAGCGTAGACAATTATATATATATATATAAAAGGGTTTTTAACACTTTTAAGGAAAGCTCTTTTAACTCACTTTACACGTAACAAAAAAAGTGTTAATTACTGGAACATTTAAAGGAAAACAATGTGCAACTGTACAATATTATATAAAGTACACTGTTTTCCCAGCCCAGACCAGGAATCGCCTTAATGAAAATGTTGATTGAATACAGCTTTTGTTTATTTATTATATAGCTAGAAATGATAATAATCAGTAACTTGAAGAAGATACAGGAAATCTCATAAAACATAAATAAATAACAACAACAAATTAAAATGTTCTGTGGAACATTTTGTATGCATGGAAGTTTTGAGTTCAATGGCAAATCGTTCACAATTAGTAGCTGATGTTGGGCCAAACACCGCGCTAGACCTACTTAGGCATGACTTAATGATTGTTGTGTGTGTATATTACCTTCCATACCGTTTATTTGGTTCTTCTAACCTCGTTTCATATACATCATGACATGTTTCGTTAAAAGTTCATGTTTACAGGCAGGATGAACCTTTTGGGGTGTGGGCTCGAGAGTATAAACAACATTGCCACAAATCATGCACAATGCCTTACTAAGAGTTGCTATGGAGTCAGCCCTTCATCTTAGTTGATAGAACAATAAGTTGGTGTGATAGAAATCCTGGCTTTGAACAGAGCCCATGTAAAAACAGATTACCAAACATATATATTATGTTTATTAGCGCAGACATACTCGGTAGTAAAGTATTGTTAATTTCGCCATTACAAAACTATGTAAAACAACTACTGAGACAACATACCATAAAAAAATGTTTATTACACACAGCTTTTGCTATCTTTTATCTAAACTCGGGTTTTTAGTTTGATAATTTACATTATTTAAAACAGTTGAAGTTTTGTTGATGACAAAGTATTTACGAAAATGTTGAAGTCTGTTATTATGTTCAAACAATTATATTTTAACTCAGTAAAGGTATATTTATTGATGCAGAAAATTGGATTTAAATTCTTTCCTAGAATAAAATGTAAAGTAAAGCTAGAATACAATAAAAATCAATTAACTAATTATAAATAATTATTCCATAGTGCGTCAAACAAAGAAACATGAATTATAAAGCAAACAAAATATCACTTAATTAAATGAGCTACAAAGATTACACTCTTTAAGGAAATGTGTGTCATCGTTTTGCACAATACTGTTACGAAAGCGGAAGTCATGTGACGCTGGTAACACGTCATGAGTTTCTAGAAGGATCACGACTGTTCCTGGCAACTCTAGTGTTTGCCAGACGCCCTCTATTTTTGTATATAAGCCCCGGCAAATAAAGCGGAGATATAATTGCAGATAGACACATAATTGAGACAAGTGAGCGGTAGTGACCGTAAGTAAAGTGCGTGAATCGTTGTGAATTGTAGCGTGTGTTAAGT